GAACTGATCAGTGGAGTTATGATGGAAAAACCAATTTCTCTTCAGTCAGAATCTACAACAGTTTGATCCCACACTCTGCACAGCATCCAATTTTCAACATGATTTGGAAGAGTAAAAACATGTTAAGGCACAAAATATTCTTCTGGTTAGCTACACATGAAGGAATCAACACTAGAGCCTTTCTTCAAAGAAAGGGGATGCATCTTGATGACCCTCACTGTCCAAACTGTAGTCAGAGTGCTGAAGAGACAGTGAAGCATCTTTTCTGGGACTGTTCTTTTGCTCAAGACTGTTGGCATTCCTTAATTCCTGGTAAGAAAAGAGGGACTTCTCTGTATGAAGATTTGGTCCTTGCCTCAGAACACTTTCCCAAGAAGTTTTCTACGGAGTTGATAAATCTTGGTTGCTGGAACCTATGGACTCAAAGAAATGGCAAAGTTTTTCGAGGCCTGCAACAGACAATTCAAAGCTGGCGATTTTTCCTAAAGCAAGATGTTAACCTCCTTCAATTCAAGATCAAAGAAAAGCATGTTCACAGTTTCAAGCTTTGGGTCAGGAATAATCTGTAATATGTTGGGTTTTATTCCCAAAACTGGTGTAGGTTGATTTTCGTTGGCCTCTTGGAGGCTTGTACTTGTATTTGTATTTGCTCCCTTTTTTTGGCTTAATAAATCACCGTAGAACGATTGTTCTACGGTTTCACGATCAAAAAAAAAACTACTTCTTTTGAGAAAAGTAAGAAATGCATGTAGGACCCCGTGAGATATACATCGCTACTGTAGTACCACAGGCTGCTAGCGCATTGTCTAGATAGTTCGAGCCTGTACATGTAAATACTCGTTGGTGGAATATTTAATTCTTCACTGCAACAGGCCAACAACTAGCGCGTCCGTGACAAGTCTGGAAGATTCAGATTGGCAGTGTTTTGGCGCGCGGCCGTACAACACGAATCCAGGAAACATCAGTCGTTGGATCAATTAAGCCTGGTGTTGATAAACAGTGGAGATTCACCCGGTGTAACAAATCAACGGACAAGGTTTTTGCTTCTACAAAATTCCATGTTCAAAAATTGATGTACTATAGTAGTAGAGATATCAAAGTTAGTATAAAATTGACATATTTATTTTATGACGGAGGTCGAAGGGAGTAGTAACCAGGAAAGCCCTGCCCCTGGAAGTTGTCTCTTTCCTTTGTGATGTCTCAAGGAAAAGCAGACCAACACACTCAAAATGGCCCAGAACAGCTCCGAATCCAGCATCAGCAAAGCTTCCTCATTCAGGCGGGCATGGCACGGTTTCAAACAGACGCGAATACACTACGCTGGATTGAGATCCTCTGCAGTACTGTACAATATTACGGAAGACACACAGGACCGGGCTCACATGACAGCGACTGTACTGCATGGTGCGCTACAACAGAGGATCCTAACCCCCACTACGCTACACACAGCCTTCTTATTCACGTGGAGAAGGAAGAGGACTCATCATCTATCCCTTCCCATGCTACTAGCAGCTCGGCGAGTCGAGCACAAACTTCCCGTGGTCATTGCAGTTCACGCACGTCTGTCTTTCACTGGCTGCATGTAGGATGTGTGTCGTTGGTTGCCACACCTAGTCGGAATGGGTCGACCGATATTTCGGTTTTTTCCTTTATGTGTTTCTTGTGCTTTTCACTAGTTGTTTTTCTTTTGGGTTTCTTCCTTATATTTTCATTTCTCCTTTTCATGTTTGTACACTCTTTCTTTCTTTTATAACATTTCAATTCATGAGCATTTATTTAAAAACATGAATATTTTAAAATCCAAGGAATATTTCACATTCATAAACATTTCTATAGTCTATGAAATATATTAAATTTGCAAACATTGTTTGAAAGTCATGAATATTTAAAATTTCCTGAACATTTTTCTAAAATTCATTGTTTCATTAGTTCACAACATTTTCTAAAATCCAAGATTTCTTAAGATTCATGAACATCTTTTTACCTAACGAACTTTTTTCTAGAAATACAGTAGCCATTTTTTTGCCTGAACTAGCAGTGATGTAGATGAAAAAAAAAGTTAAACGAAGGAGCTGAGCTCCCAAGGGATCACACAACCACCGCCCCTTGATAGTGAACTAAGCATAGCTTAGATGGTTAGGTCCCTTGTGGTGGAACCCAACCCATCAGGGTTCAAGTCCTAGACTCGGTGATCGCATTTTTTCTGAATTTATTTTGGGCCTACTGGTGATGTGCGTTTAGTGTGAGGCGACGTCCTCGTCGACAAGTCATCTGTGGCGACTTCGTTAATATCAAGATGATGGGACGGCTCAGTCTTAAAATAAGATTATGCCAATATTCAGATAGGACAGGCGACTCAGTTTTGAAGTTACTTATAAAATAAATATATTTTTACGAACTTCACAACATAATAAGTTTCCTCTACGATCATGATTTTCTTTAATGTTAATAGCATAATAAGGCCTTGTTTGTTTCAACTTTGATGAGATTTGAATTACTTGTGGATTTGCTTTAGTGGCAAAGCTAATTCATAGTGATATAAGACCATGGTTGTTTCAGTCTTGATTGGATTCGAATCACCTGCAGATTTGCTTCAGTGGCAAAGCTGATTCACAGAATCAGGTTCACCACCGAAATACACTTTGAGATGCTTCAGCAAATTGCATTGAAAATGGCCAGAATGTAGATTGAGCTTCACTGGCAAAGCTGATTCAAAATAGTTGTTTGTTTCAGATTCCAAATTTACTTTCACTGGCAAAGTTGGCTTCACTCACAAAGTTGATTCGGAATGATTATTTGTTTTGGATTCAAGATTCAGCTTCACTTGCGCTAAATCTGCTTGCTAAAACTCAAACAAACAGGGCCTAAGTAGTCCATATTTTTGATTTTCTTTAACTTTCACAAAACAATAAGTTAACCGTACGATTCTGACTAGTGCCTTTGATATAAAATTATGTAGTGTGTAAGACCTTGTGCTTGTGCACACCTTTTGTCAGACGCCTTCCGCACTTTGCGATAGAGTAAATATGTAGGCTAAACCAAGTCGATGAGCTTTGAAGGGTCCAAAATTTGGTATCAAGGTTGTTGGCACATGGACAAAACCAAGATACTAATGGTGCATTTTCTACTACATCTGGTGGCCCTGAGCCCAACCAAACAACAGCTCTATTCTCAGTTCTAGCAAAGTTTACCAAGAAATCACCAACAACATTTTGGCTACGCTTAATTTGAGTAATACAAGTTTTATGAAGGGAAAACAGATATTTAATCTCTGCCGCCAAAGAAGCAAGCAGTGATCTGTCAACAACTTCATCCTCGAGAATGCTCACCACTGGGACAAAATCCACCTCTAGCAGAATAGGTAGAACTGATCGTTGCAAAGATAAAGATAGACCCTCCATACAAGCAGAGCTCGGCTTCCATTGCATCTCTACAGGGAAAATAAGTTCCTTGCATGAGGAGAAAATTATATTGCTTGTGTTGTCTCGGGGAATCATTCGAGCTACAGCCCTTCCATCTGACGACCAAGAACCATCCATGTTTAATTTAGCCCAGCCTCCTGGAGGAACCACCCACAAATGAAGATGATCAGCCAGTTTGAGTGTCTTCTTTGCCTCAGTATTCATCTTTAAATCATCTTGGATAACAATGGTACTTATCCTCCACTTGCGTCTTCTCACCTTGATAAGATATATCCTCTTTCTTCTCTTAACTTCGCGTCCTCTTTCTCATTTGATCAGGTCCTTCCAATCTTCATCACCATCATACATGAACGCTAAAAATTCACCAATATGATGTTGATTGCTAGGGGTGTGTGCATTGTCGGACACCGAGGCCAGGGGGACTCCTTTTGGAAAAAAAAAAGATGTTTTTTGTTGAATTGTTTGGATTGCTTACAACATATGTCACGTGGTAAAAAAAACTGACTTGATTGCTCACCTCTATGGAGTAGTCTACTTCTTCGATTTCTTCTAGAGCAACACCAGGATAGATGACCGCTCTCCATCAAGTTTCTTCGTATAAAACATACTACTAACTTTCATTTTCCTTTTTTTCTGGTTAAGTTTATTAACATTAATCCCATACTACCAGATCCGACGTTATGCATAAGCTGTTGTTAGTAGCATCGCTCACCTCCCGGATCATATGACTAAGCAGATAATAATCTTCATAAGCCAGGACTTGGATATGATGCAATCCCTGTGTGCAAGAATATAAAAAAAAATACGTAAGAAGTGGCACAAGTTGAAGTGGCAACCTAGCATAAAAAATGAAATGAAGCATCCAGCCAATAGGGAGGCATGGGAAAGGCTTTGGTAGAAGAGAACATATGGAGGCATGGGAAGGCTTTGACGGAACAGAACATATACTGATACTGCAAGACGAAAGGAACTTCAGACTTGTACATATGGTTTCAGACTTTCAGTCCATGTGGCAAAAAAGAAAGGTCATCCCCGGCCGGACGTCGAGAAGAAGGTGCATTAGGTAGAAGAAGATATGAATAGGAGAAATAAGGCTCGAGAAGAGATCCATCCCTTGCACCCACTTCTTCCAAAGGCACCAGAATAACTCCTTAGGTTCTTCACTATGCGATCAACCAGCATCACAGCGGAGCAGGCCTGTATGTATAATCTAACAACTCAACATCACTGGACTCCGATGGCCTCATGTCTCCATCTGCACGAGAGAAGCACCGTCTGTTCCTAAATAATCATTACTATCACAGTACCACTATGTGAGTGTATATACGTAACTAACACTGAACATTCTCTTCATAAAAGTTACATCAGGCAACATGAATTCATCCAACAACATTTATGCGGTCAACTAGTACACAATCTGAATAAATCAGGGTTCCCAAACACAGAAAAAACAACAGACGAAAACAGTATCCTCCTAAGCATACGAAAAACAGGACCAACCCAACCTACCTGTCAAGACTGAGACGGCATCACTAACAGGAAAAACGCGCTAGCGGTCCGACAAGTCCGCAGCAGCGCTCAGCAGAACTTCCAGTGGTTGTTGCAGTTGACGCACGTCACAAACGTCGTCATGGGCTCGTCGGCACTCCGCGTCTGCAGCTGGTAGTAGGTCGTCTTGCGCTGCCCACACCGCCCGCACTTGAACTGGTCCGTCGACGCCTTGGGCGCCGACGCGCGCTCGCAGTCAAACAGGGCCTTCTCCTTGATCTGCTGGTTCTCCAGCTTCCGAGCGTCGCTCGCCATCTCGTCCGCTGGCATATCCACCAGGCTCCCGGGCCTCACCTCGCCCAGCAGCACCCTCCGCCGGAAGTCAGGGTTGTTGTCCGCCTTTAGGTTGAACAGTATCGACCTGTATTTCACCTTGTGGGTCCCAGTGGAACGCCCGATCCTCTCAAACAAGGCCGACTCCACTGTCACAGCAACTCTATATGGGTCGCATGCATTTACCTGGTCCAGTAGATCTCTTATTTCCTCTCTGTCATCCTCGCTAGTTTCCTTGGAAACCTTGACGAACGCGTCAACAAGAAGCTCCCTGTATTTATCTCGAGCAGCATCGTTGCATCTGACGAGGGATGTCAGCTTTGGGGGACCATTTGGAACAGAAGATGGTTTCTTTGTTTCAGATGTTCTGCTAACTTCCTTTGAAACCTTCTCAACCTTAACTTGGACTTTGGAATCATTATTCGCAGTCTTCTCAATCTTCACGCTTGCCGACATAGAATTCTTTTCAGTCTTCACAGTTGCATTCTTTTCAGACTTCACAGTTGTCGACATAGAGTTCTTCTCAACCTTCACGTGCGCTGACTTCTTTTCAACCTTCATGGGCTGAGGTTTCTCAGCCTTAGCTGCAGAGTTATCTGATTTTCCATTCGCTGGTGTGCCGTTTTTCTTTCCTGTCTCTTCAATAACAACCTTCTTCCAGTACCCAAAAAGGTCTGCAGCCACCGCCTGTATGTCTGAGTTAGGGTGCTTCGTCAGGTACCGAAGACGTTTGCCAACCTGACAAAACAAAACACAATATGTAAGTTGCAAGTTCCCAAAGCCCTATGAAAACAACTACATGGGGGAAGTAGCTGAATGAAATAAGCAATAAACATTTAGGAGGGAAGCAGATGTTAACTTGACTAACTAAGCTTCAGTAAAAAGACAATATTTTACTTAGCAATGCAGTTAACAAAAGATGTTTCACAAACCACCAACCCAGCGCAACTAATAGATGCAGACCCACGAAACCAGAATCACTCTGCTCATGAATATTGAGTGTTTGCCACTCATGCTCAAAACACATCTGCACCATACGGAATTAGATATGCTTTTGCTAGATAGGTTAGCAAACTTAAAGCTTTCTAAATTGAAACCCAGTCACTGAAAGGCAACTCAGACATGAAAGAAATTGTCACCAACCCAGCGCAACTAATAGATGCAGATCCTCGAAACCAGAATCACTCTGCTCATGAATATTGTGTGTTGCCACTACTGCTCAAAACACATCTGCACCTTATGGAATTAGATATGCGGATAGGTTAGCAAACTTAAAGCTTTCTAAATTGAAACCCAGTCGCTGAAAGACAACTCAGACATGAAAGAAATTGTCACCAACCCAGCGCAACTAATAGATGCAGACCCTCGAAACCAGAATCACTCTGCTCATGAATATTGAGTGCTTGCCACTCATGCTCAAAACACGTCTACACCTTACGGAACTAGATATGCTTTTGCAAGATAGGTTAGCAAACTTGAAGCTTTCTAAATTGAAACCCAGTCACTGAAAGACAACTCAGACATGAAAGAAATTGTCACTGCAGCCCCTTTAGGAGGCCTAGACTCCTAGAAACTGTTTCAGAATTATTGTTTGTTACGCTCAATGCCCCATGGCACTTATGTCTGTGTCCACGAAGGAAACAACTCATATCCCAATTACAGAGGACCTTACCTAGTTTTATAAATCATTAAGGTGTTAAAACTAAAAGTAAACATTAAGACTACGAAGCTGTTTGGTTTGATGACAAAAATTGACTTGCCAATATGCAGGCAAGCCAAAAAAACGGCTTTATCGACTTCTGGAGTTGCCATTTGGCAGGCCCTATGATGAAAGTCTGGTGTAAGTGGCTGGCTCGAAGACATACTAATTGTCGGGTAGTGTGCACCATAATGATCGAGAAACCGTTACAGCTTCAGATCAGATATGCACAAAATGGCAAAACAGGAGCACAATATGACATACTAATTGTCGGGAAGTGTGCACCTTAACGGTTGAGAAAACGTTACAGCTTCAGATCAGATATACACAAAATGGCAAAACGGGAGCACAATATGGCATACTAATTGTCGGTAAGTGTGCACCTTAACAGTCGCGAAACCGTTACAGCTTCAGATCAGATATACACAAAATGGCAAAACAGAGCACAATAAATATTGGTTCAGTAACTCAGGAAGCTAGCTTTTATGGCAAGACATGTCAAATACGACAACTTGAAGATCATGCAAGTTATGACTTGCCCAAATTATATAGAATATTTCTTTCATCTAAACTGCTCACGTTCTGCACGCTTCACTTACCAAATCAACTTTTTCACATAAACACATGAACCAAAGATCGGCAGATTTTTTTAGGGAACTGGCAGAAATAGAGTCCATTCATCAAGGCAAAGTTATGACTTGCTAGCAGAAGATGGGTAGAATGCCGAAAATCCATGAAATCCAGAGGAAGAGCCATTGATTACATGCTGGTGCAAGACCAGTCAACCGCAAATTCATTGTCTTTGTTCCTATTTTGTGAAATTCAAAACATAGGTTTCATGTTATAGATAAATTAGTTATCACATGTTCTCCAGCCAAATTGTAAAACTGTCCATCATAGGCGGATCAGAACACTCTCAATCAGTACCAGTCCATGAATTTACAGTGTTTATTATCATTGGAAGACATTATACATTGTGGAGAGCCAAAGAAAGATGATGGTTGGGAGACCACTTTATGGGGAATCCCAATTGACATGAAACTAGTAGGATCAATCTGACCCACAGCAAAGACCAAACCGTCACCAAGACATATTAATCCTGACCGCAAAAGCATGAAAAACACAAATCCCAGCCTTTGTCCTGAATGGAAACTGTGGACAATCTGCATTCGACAAATCCCAGCCGCCTACCCACCGTCTCTGTGAGACATCCAGGCACCGGGCGCGCCCGCCCTTATTACCCACAAACCTACCAATCCGAGGTGCAAAAAGAGGAAAAAGGTACAACCTGCCCCCCTCCCGCAAGATCTAATTCCCAATTCGCTTTTCGCAGCACCGTCGCCCTTTAAAAAGGGGGGGAAGAACGGCATGTCTCGCAAAAGCACACGGCAATTCCTCGCGAACCGGCCAGGAAAAAAGAAGGCCCAAATTGGACGCAACGAGGCGCATTGCACCCGCGCGCAATTCCTCCTCGATTTCACCGCACCAACGCAACGAGAGGCCGGGAATGGCCTAATTTCTGGACCGGGGACGAGCGGGGAGGGAGGGGGGGCGGCTGACCTGCGTGGAGACGAGGACGTCGGTGTTGACGCGGAACTCGCGGAGGCGGCGCAGGGCGTCGAGGCAGCGCTCGGCCTCGGGGGAGGAGCCGTCGGCCTCCTCGGCGGCCGCGTCGGCGGCCTTCTTGGCGGCCTCGAAGGTCTCCATGAGCTCCCGCTCCATGGCCATCCGGCTGGCGGCGGCGGCGGCGGCGGCGTGGATCGAATCAAAACCCTAGGCGCGAGCAGGAGGCCTCGCCGCCGCGGTCTACCCTCTCTGTCTGGCTCTGGGGCGCGGAGGCGAGACGGGCGGAGGGGAGGAAAAAAGGGTTGGATTCGGGGGCAGCGCCGGGATTTATACGGCGCGGGGCCGCCGCCGCCGTTGATTCGGAGGCGGGTGAGAGATCCTTCTGGAGCCGCGCGGATCGGACGGTGGATTCCGCGCCACGTGGCGCGCGCCCGGGAGTTCGGTTGCTGTTGGGTTAGGATCCGTCCGTCCTGTGTGTCTGTCTGTCTGTCTCCAGACGGCGTGTCATTTCCTTTCTCTCGCAAGGACAGAAGCTTCTGCAGCGGTGACTCACTGGGCTTTATTTACGAGAGCCGTCTGACCCTGCCGTTTCGTGCACAGATTACATTGTAGGTGACCATCAAACCTTCACCAACGTTGCCCTTGAATTGGAAGAGGGTCATCCTGACTCCGGGCCCGGCGGCAGTGGATTAGGGTTGGTGTGTGCATTTTGGGGCCAAGG